ATGGTGTGGGGTTTTTTTTCAGGGGTTGGGCTTGGTGTGGAAGAACTTGACAGGCCTGCACAGAGTCCTGACCTCAACCTTTGTGATAAATTAGAGCGGAGACTGAGAGCCAGGCCTTCTTGTCTGACATCAGTACCTGACCTAACAAATGCTCTTCTGGAAGAATGGTCAAACTTTCCCATACACACCCTCCTAAACCTTGTGGACGGGCTTCCCAGAAGAGTTGAAGCTGTTATAGCTGCAAAGGGCGGGGCCAACTCAATATTTAACCCTACGGACTAAGACTGGGAGGCCATTAAAGTTCATATGATTGTAAAGGCAGGCCGACCAATACTTTTGGCAATATAGTGTACGTCCAAAGCCTCTAGATACGTGGCACAGAGAGATCCGAGACTGCCTATAAAATACTATTTTGTGTCATAAAACTCCTGAGGTTCTTCAAAAGGGTAATCCATCACTTTTGAAGCTATGTTGGAGATGCCATGGTGATATAGGCACTCACGATCATATTTTTTTGGGACTGTCCCATTATTCTTCCTTTCTGGATCTCTGTCCAGTCCCTCCTCCAAAACCTCCTTGACATTACACTACCTCTAGATCCTGTTTTAGGTTTGCCTTTCCAAGACATTTCCAAGCACGTTAAGAAGTTGGCTACATTTGTTCTGTTAGCTGCCAAATGAACCATACCTTTAAGTTGGTTGTCGCTGACACCTCTAACTCACTCACAATTATTACAAACCATAGCTGATTTTTGTAGAATGGAACACCTTACTGCAATAGTGAATGATTCTATGCCTCAATTTACCAAGATTTGGGATGCGTGGGATGCATCAGAGATTAGTTTTAAATCACCATCCCAAAACTACAGCCGGGGCCGGTGCTTCCACTAGTCAAACTAGGCAGCTGTCTAGGGTGCACTGCAACTCTGTGAGGGATGTTGCCATGTCATGAATGATGCTTCAGCTAAGCCACGTATCTGGGGCCAGTGTAGCAGCTGAGCTGCAGTTACTTCCAGTGTTCCTCTCAGACTCAGTCCCTTACTGCAAGCCTGTTGGCGACTGCTGATCACTGTGGAGTTCCATCCATCCTTTCTCTTCCCATTCATCAGTGGAGGCAGAGCTGTGCTGCTGGGTAAAGTAATGTCTGACTCTGTCTGATGCCCTTTTTTTGTGAGTCTTATACACCTTGTCCATGGTGTGCCTCCTTCTCCCCCCCCCATCTTTGATCTCTTTATTAATGCAGACATGTATCCTATGTGTATGGTCGTGGTTTGTTCATTTATCAAGATTTGTCCTTTCATTGACCAATGCCTATTCTGGATGGTCTAAAGGCAGTTTCTACTTTATCTGTACACAGGTCCCCTGTAGACACGTACATATTTTTGTTGCTGTACTTTGATCATCTATGTTGACAATGTTGATATTTGTATAATTAGGAAAAATTAATAAATGCACAATTATGAAAAAAAATCTCTTTTTATATCAGATTCCCACTATTCCCTGCACAGCAGCACACCCAATAGGAGAGAGAGGAGCTACACTAGGAGCCAGTCAGGATCTGTGCATGCACATGCGCTAACAGAAAGCATGCTGGCAGAAGGAGAGAGTAGAGTTGATGAGTTATTAGTGCATTTCTGCTCTTTTATTGTCCAATCAGCAAGCTTTGGGTGGGGAGGTGATACTGCTGTATTCCTCAACTGTACCAGAAAACTTGGTCACCCCCTTCCTAACAGAGAAGTGACACTACTGTATCCCTTGACTGTAGCAAAAAAATTGGTCTCACCCCTGGCTGCACTTTCTAATGGGGAGGCGACACCACTGTATCCTTCAACTGTAACAGAAAAATTGATGTCTGCGCTTTCTAACAGGGAGATGATATCACTGTATCTCTTAAGGCTCCATTCACACTTAGGCATTTCAAATCGCAGGCGGAATTGCCGCGATTCTGCCCGCGATTTGAAAACACACTGTGAAAATGTGCATTTATTTCAATGGCACCTAAAACGCGGGATGTTTTTACCGCGACTGAGGTGCATTTTTCTGCACCACAAACGTGCAGTGACCGCACATACAAAGTTGCAGGATGCTCAACACCCAAAAAAGTTTCTCGGAAGCATATTTGGGTGTCACACCTAAGTGTGTATGGAGCCAAAAAGGTTCTGGAACCATTATTAGGCGTCGCGCCCAAGTGTAAATGGAGCCTAAAGTTAACAAAAAAATTGTAGTCACCCACCTGGCAGTGGTTTCTGGCAGGGAAGTGACACAACAGAAAATTGGTGACACCCGGCTTGCTGTGATTTCCAACAAGGAGATGACATCACTGTACCCATATGGAAGAAAAGTATATTTGAAATATATTTTAAAAATATTCTTGACATATAGTTGAAATGCTAAAATTTTGGCCATATTCAATATATTTCAAAATATATTTCAATAAATATATATATATATATATATATATATATATATATATTGCATATTGAAATGCATTTTTTTTTTAAAAATATATGAAAAATACTTTTAATAATAAATTTCAAATATACTGTATGGCTTTAAAAATACAAATCTACATGTTTGGAATGCATTTACAAATACATGTAAAAATATATGAAATATATGTTAAAATTAATTTTTTATATGTTAAAAAAATCTGAAGAATACATTTAAAACATTTTTTTTTAAAATATATATATATATTTGTAAGAATATTTTTAAAATATATTTCAAATATATTTTTCTTCCATTTGGGTATTCTTACCTGTAACAGAAAAATTGGTGTCACCCTCCTAGCTGCTCTTTTTCTAACGAGGAGATTACGAGGATATATTAAACTGGAGTCCCCCACCCAGCTGTACTTTCTGGCAGGGAGGTGACACTACTGTATCCCTTAACTGTAAAGAAAAAATTGGTGTCACCCTCCTGGCTGTGATTTCTGGCAAGGAGGTGACACTGCTGTATCCCTTAATTGTAACAGAAAAATTGGTGTCACACCGCATGTGCTTTCTAGTGGGGGTGGATGAATGTCAAAAGTGAGGCATAATTTGAAATTATTTTGGCAGTGCTGAATACTAAATGGGGACAAGAAGATTTCATTGTTTCAGAAACAGGAAATGCTATTTTCTTTTTATATCATATGGGATTAAGGATTATCAAATAGCTATACATGTATAATACAGCACCTGGTATGCTAATGTTATTTTATGTAACCAAAGAGATCATTAACAATATTGATAATAATAATCAACATTGTAATAATATAACAAAACACAGTATCTATGTAACAATAGATATTACTAAAGTTATTACTATTTAAAAAAAGGTTTTCTTATTATAGCATACATAATATATATACAGTGCTCAGCATAACTACACCCCAACAGATTTGTCAAAAATCTTTACTTTCCTTTCAGAATCAACATTTTCTATGGGACACTATACCACAAAATACCCCCACAAATGCAGGCCATTGATTGCCAGCAAGATTTGTTAATTTACACGCACAAAAAAGTATTTTTCCTAACAAGTTCATTCAAGACCAAGTTGCAAAAATGAATACACCCCAATGAAAGTCCTAGGAGCAAAGCTAAATTTTAGACAACAAAATCTTATTTAACAAGAATTCAACTACAGGTGAGTCTGATTATTCATTAAACAGGTGTCTAGCAGACAGTTGATTATAAAAGGGTGTTACTTAACCAAAAACCCCTTCCCATTTCATGCTGTCAGCAATGGCACCACATGGAAGAGAAATTTCACAAGGCCTGAGAAAGAAAATAATTTCTTACAAGAAAGGTGAAGGCGACACGAAGATCAGAAAAGCTTTACTTAGTTAAGCAAAAGTGATACAAAAATTTAACAAAGATGGAACTGCAACCATCTCACAGAGACGTCCAGGCCGTCCATGGAAGTTAACACCTCCACAGGAGCATCTTCTGATGAGAAGGGTTGAAGAAAATCGCCATGCAAATTCACTGCAGTTACTTAAAGAAGTAGAAAGCCAAACTGAGGTGATTGTTTCTGGTGACACAATACGGTGCACACTGCAGAGGAATGGCATGCAAGGGTGTCATCCATGAAGGAAGCCTCTCCTAAAGCCCATGCACAAAAAAGCCAGATTAGAATTTGCCAGGGTCAATGCTGAAAAAGAAGAAGACTACTGGGACTCTGTTCTCTGGAGTGATGAGACCAAGATAAATGTTTTTGGAACTGATGGCTTTAAAACTGTATGGCGTTGCAAAGGTGAGGAGTACAAAGAAAAATGCATGGTGCCTACAGTGAAAAATGGTGGTGGCGGTGTCCTTCTGTGGGGCTGTATGAGTGTGTCGGCGAGCTGCACTTCATTGATGGTATCATAAATTCGCAGATGTACTGTTTTATATTGAAAGAGAAGATGCTACCACCACTCCGTGCCCTTGGTCGTTGTGCACTTTTCCAACAGAATAAAATCCAAAACACACATCTAAGGCCACTGTTGCATTTCTGAAGAAGAACAGGTGAAAGTGATTCAGTGGCCAAGTATGTCTCCTTATCTGAATCCAGGGGAAATTCTGAAGAGACAAGTTGAGCATCGATCTCCATCCAGCATCCAGGCTCAAACAGAGGTTGTTCTTGGAGAATGGAAAAGGATAGAAGTTGCAATATGTCGTCAACTTGTTCATTCCATGCCTAGAAGACTTGATGCTGTCCTTACAAATCATTCAAAATACTAGATGAAGTAGTTTTTGTTGTGGGGTGTATTCATTTTTCCTTCAACTGATTTGATTAAAACTGAAGATTTTGTATAAGTTATATTATTAACCTTCCTTTCATGTAATGAGCTAAACAAATGTTCTATAAAACTCAGTTTTGTCAAAATTTTGGAAATTGTTCCTGTGTTCATTGAGATATTGATTAAAATCTTACTTTTCAAAAGGGGTGTACTCATTTATGCTGAGCACTGTATATTGTATACAGTAATAGATATATAAATATTTTTTTTTCAAGATTTGCATGCTTTGTTACCTCTAGGGAATCTTCAGGAATTGCTTTTATCCATCTGTATGTTGCTGTGATGTGTTCATAAGCATTGGCCATCACTTCTACCGCTCTTGGATACGAGTGACATTCTTGCAAGACCTGTAGATCAGCCATTGGGGTAATATAATATACACAACAGATTTTAGAGTTCTTATGTTTTAAAACATTTTATATAACAAAAAAAGACAAGTAGTTATCCGTATTGAATAAAACTGCTACAGGAAATCAGATTTTGGCAGGTTACCTATATTATTTTATACATATACAATGTACAGTGCTATATTTTTGTCAATTACAGTTGTGCTCAAAACTTTGCATACTCTGCAGAAATGGTGAAATGTTGGCACTGATATTGAAAATATGACTGATCATGCCAAAAAAAACTGTCTTTTATTTACGGCTAGTAATCATGTGAAGCCATTTATTTATCATATGAAGCTTTCCACTTGTTAATAAGTGATTGAACAGTACCAACTAACATATTCAAGGCTTTGGATATCTTTTTATATCCCTTTCCATCTTTATAAAGTTCCATTTTCTTGTTATGCAGGGCTTTTGATAATTCTTTTCTGCTCCCCATGGCTCAGTATCTAGGCTGCTCAGTGCATCCACATGAGAGCTAAAAAAACTCACTGTTTATATACAGACGCTAGTTGTAATTTAAAAAGTCACAGATGTAGGAAATGAACCTTTAACTGCCATTTTAACCTCTGTCTCACCTTGTGTGTCTGTACCAAGGCCAATATTCCAGGGGATGGAAAATTTTGATCAGGGGCATTTGGGTAATTTCTATCATTATGATTTAAAAAGGAGCCAAACAACTATGTGATAATAAATGGCTTCATATGATTGTAAGCCGTGTACCGGGGTGGGCTCCCCAGGATACAGTGAAGTCACGAACGAGGAAAGCAACCCCAACACCAGCTTTTACCACAATAGAATTTTACTTAGATGTGGCAAATAAACACAACCACAGATGCTGGAAACATACAATAAATTTACATACACCCAGCCCAAAGGCTGAGACCCTTCTGCTGCACAGCACGGCGCCTTCTGATGGATGAAGGTAGAAAGTGAAGTAATTTACCTACTGGCGGGCACAACTAAGCTGCCACACCTTACCTGTTATTACCCTAAAAGAGCAGGAATCAGTGTATGGGTGTACGGTATGGGCTAGCCTGCGGTGCAGCACAACAGCTTACAATCTTTCACAGATCTACAGTATTCCCCCTCCCATAACTGGTCCTGTAGCACGTGCCTGAGTATTCCTTCTGAGCAAAACGCCAGTATGGCTTGAGTTTGTAGGATTTTATCAGCTCTCCAATGTGAAATGTCACTTTAAGTTGTGGAGTCCTTCCAATAATCAGTAACAACACTTGTGGCCTGACACAAACAGAGACCCTAACTAACTAACTATAGGCCTGGATTCAGTCTCAAGGCGCCAACACTGAAATGAGGTGCGTGCACGATCTTACCGAACCGGGTCTGCTTTGCATCCGCTGGTGACTCTGAACAGAACAAATGTCTCTCCAACAGGCCTGCGATATTGCAGTGTATGCTGCGTTGTTCCTCTGCTCTCATCAGCTTCCTGGCAGAAATTTCATCAGCTTCCTGGCAGCAATCTCATCAGCTTCACCCAGCTGCAGCTCACACGGCCCCTTCATTCAGCATTCTCCAGAACATGGCTCCTGTCTCCTCTTCCTGTTTCCTCAACTCTCTGTGTGAAAATTCCACCTCTTATGAATATACAAATATCTATGCAGTCTGAGCCTGTGTTAGAAAAACAGTGACATCTTGTGGCTAAACCGCAGAATATCAGTCAAAACATCAATTTACTCCACACAATAATTTACTGCACACAGTGTTCAAACAATGAGAGCTATTTCCTCATCTCACATGATCACTATCCTTAATTAAAAAACAGTTTGTTGGCATGATCAATCAGATTTTCAATATAATTGTCAAAGTGTCACAATTTCTGCCAGGGAATTCTAATTTTTGAGCACAACTGTATATATGAATTTATTGTCTCATAGGAATATCTGTATGCTATATTGCCAATGTATGTATACCCCTTGGGATTATGTAGTTATATCTTGGATACCAATGGGTCTCTAAACAGCATCTAAGTCACATACAATGATAGAACACAGTCTGGTGTTTCATAATACTATACAAATTTTAGCTGTCTGGCATGGTTAATTTCACTAAACATGCCTAGCATTCACAGTGCCAGGGAGGAAAAAGTATAAAACCTCTGAGTTAATGAACTGGTCTGACCCTCCTTTGGCAGCAAAAAAAAAATGCTCCAGTGTTGTAATGAGAGCCTTCACTGCTCCACTAATGGTCTCAGTCACATAACTTTTTGAGTGGAGTAACCAATTTTATTGGATACTGGTGTGAATATACACTTACATATACCATATCTATGTACTGAAATATAATGTAACCTGCCTAGGCATTACAGAAAAACATGGATATCAAGCCCCCATAGTCACAAATATTTTTATAAGCCCTCTAAAGTGTTTTTTAACTTACCTGAGCTTTAAGCCATCAAGTGACCCTCTGCGAGCTTCTCTTGGCAGACCATGAGTCAAGTATGCTGCCAATGGTCTTGGCATTGCTCTTTGCCAAATCAGATGTCAACAGCATGATCCAGGTCTTCAGCACCCAGTCCATGGACAGCCCCAAAATGAATGTCGCCAGCTCACCACATGGCTGTCCAGAAGTTTTGATGTGGCACGTGATCACAGAACTTTTTTTTCAGGTAAGTATTTGGTTTTTGTGTATCTTTTTCATAATTAAGTATATTAGCTAGAGGGTGTGGAAACTTTGGTAGTGATTGGTGGCAAACCCAAACTCCAGCTGTTTATTAAATTTAGTTTTGGTGAGAATGTAAAATCTTGCAATGAGATGGACTTTAGAGGTACCCAACAAAAATATAATCATTAAAGGAGAAGTTTTGCCAAAGATTTCTGGTCTTTAGCTGACACTCTGGGATTCTTCTTTTTTGGTTATGCTTCATTTCTACAGGGACCACAGGGAGAGTGCACTTCAGTTCTAAGCTTTCCCCATTTGTGACAATTTTCAACCGTGGACAGGGGGAAAATCCCGCTGTTGGCTTACATCAGTTTGCCAGCTCAGGATAGATCCTGACTTTAATGTCCAACATTCCAGTGAGCACTGAAGGGACAATGTAGAGAGTGGTGATTGACAGTCACCCAAAACACCTTGCAGGCTGAAGGGCAAGAAGCTGAGCAATGAGCGATGTCACACTGATTGGACTCAGTTTCTCGGCTCCTTAGAGCTGGTGGGGGAAGTCATGCAGCTGGGATTGGTGCTACTTTTTCCATCTAGGTGAGTGTGATTGTTTTTTTTTTTTCAATTGAACTTTCTCTTTTAAAACTATTTATTTTATGTAGTATTATGTATCAAAAATAAAATAAAATGTTCATAAAAATATGTTGTGACTTATGATTAGGCCTTATACATTTCCATCCTCTGACCAATCCAGTATACCTTGATTGCCAAATATAATGTTGTGTTCAGCAGGTAATAATTCTTGCAACTATATATGGTTAAAAATGTTAAATGGCCTATTTATATTGGCACATGCTTTTATTTTTTTTATTTTTATACATATTTAAAAAAAATTATCATTTTAATTTTCTGTATTTAGTGTTGATGTTCTTTCCCACATATCCATTCAAGTCTTCTACCCAGTCTTCAAACAAGTAGTTCTCCACTTCACAGATTATAAGCAGAGCCTCCTGAGGACAGAAATGTAATCTCCTCGTTAGGAACAAAGACAGCAATAAAAACCAAATGGAACTTCCAACACTTCCTATCCAAAGCAAAATAAATAATTTTATTTGTAGCTTAAAATGGTTTTTAAATTCAATAGTTTAATACCTGTTGACCATGGGCAGGTGATGGGTAAATCACATTCACGTTGCTGCCCTCCCACCCTGCTTCTCCCACAGAGAGGCAAAGCAGGGCAGGGAAGTAATGGGCTCAGGCATGTTTGTTGCCTGAGCTGTCCAGCCAGGAAGCTCTGAAAACCAGTCCTAAGCAGCGGAGGCAATACCCACCCACAGCATGCCCCTTGTATTTTTGAGGCGGGGGACGCCTCTGCCACTCATGATTTGCTATCAGCTTTGACAGAGCTTGGGCAATTTTGGGTTCTTGTCCCCCTGAGTGTAGTGCGCTGATCACAACTGGCCCTCCTCTTCAGTCAATCCAATGTTGTGGGTGACTTCATGTGGGATAGACAAAAGGGGAGGAGTGGCGGGGATCAATACACCAGAATAAGTAGATCTGCCACAGCAGCTTCTCTGTGCCACTCTGCATCAGGAAACTACTTCTCTGCCCTCCTGCCCTGCTCCCCTGTAATATGCCCTCCTGACCTTCCCAGTACTGTACTCTTATGCCCCCCCCAGTATGGTACCCTTCTACACCCCAATACTGTGTCCTTCTGACCCCCTGTACCATACTCTCCTGACCCCCATGTAGTGTGCCTTCCTGACCCACCTGTACCATGCCCTTCACACTCCCCAGCCCTCCTGAAGCTCAGTACCATGATCTCCTGACCTCCAGCCCTCCTGATCCCCAGTACTGTGCTCTTCTGACACCCCAGTATTGTGCTTTCCTGACCCCTCAGTATACCATGTCCTCCTGACACCCCCTTCCCCAGTCAAGCAAGTCAGCCTGCAGGTCCAGTGGTTCTGCCTTTCTGATGGACTCCTCTATCAGTCTTGTGGGGCCAGTGACCAGTTACTCCCCAGACATAGAAAATAGTGAAGGCAAATGTTGAGTTTCTTGTTGAAGCTAATATTTAGGATAGGCTAATTTTAGATTTTTATAAAATAAAACATTTTATTAAAATAAATAAATAAATTGGTTTTTTTTTTTTATCTATTTTTCTTGGTTTTCTTCATGCTGCCTTTACCTTTTTGGGGGTTTGCTAGTTAAATACTTAAAAAAAAAAAAAAAAAAAAAAAAAAAAAAAGGGGGCACCTTTTTTTGATCTCTTCCATGTTGTGCAGGTAGATCTCTACCTTTCAAAGGTTGACTAACCCTCAATAAAATAGTCATAATGATATTAAAAATAATGTAAAAAATTAGGCACAAACTTACCTTATGGAACTGTGGTGGGTATATCCTGGCAGCCCCGTGATTCAGCAAAAGCTGGTAGCAGATGTCTGGCTGGCCAGCTGCCCGCACAGATGTAACTTTTAGCACATACTGCTGAGGGGCGCATCCATTGCAGTCCATGGCATTGGCCTGTGCTCCTGCCTCCAGCATCATATGCATTAAAATGTGGTCGCAGTTCCATGCTGCTTTGTGTAGCGGCGTTTTTAAGTCAATATCTCTGGTATTGACCTCAGCATCATAATCCAGTAGCATCCTGCAGATCAAGTGATGTTTGTCGCTGTATTTCTGCTCCTTGATGTTCAGTGCCCAGTAGGCGGCAGTGGCCAGAGGGGTCTCTCTAGGTTGGAGTTGGGACTGTCCACCATGGCACCATGGTTGACATAAAAAGCAACAAGTTCCGGAATTCCGACTCGGGCTGCAGTGTGTAGTGGTGTTTCTTCGGCATGGTCATTACTTTCCAAGTTTACATTGGCTCCTGAGGACGACAAAACATTTTCTGTATATAATAGCAAACCCCAAAAATTAGATAATCATCCCAAAAAAAAAAAAATATAAAAATAAAAATAAAAATAAAATATAAAATAAATAATAAAAAAATAAATAATAAAAATAAAAAAATAAATAAAATATAAAAAATAAAAAAATAATAATAAAAAAAAATAAATAAATAAATAAATAAAAAAAATATATAAAAAAATAAAAATAAATAATAAATTAAAATAAGAAAAAAAGTCACAATTCAAACACCCAAAAAAAATGTCCAAAAAGGAGTCCCAAATTTTCCAAATCTTTATCTGTGATATCTTAATTCTTCATATCTTCCAACATTCTTAGTGATATACTTCAAACCCGATCTTCATATATCTCAAGAAAAAAAGAGCTCAACATTTTTTTATTATTTATTTTATTTTTATTTTTATTTTTATTTTTTTTTTTTTATTTTTATTTTTATTTTTATTTTTATATTTTTTTTTTTTTTTTTTTTTTTTTTTTGGGATGATTATCTAATTTTTGGGGTTTGCTATTATGTTTACACTATATTGTGATTAGATGGTAATCAAGTTTACTATACTTTGATGAATTTTTTGTACTTCAGGGGAAGGATTGTGGTGGTAACTTGATGGGGAGTCTGTTTTGAGAGAGGATAGTGCTATTCCTTTTTATATTGATTTTCTGTATATAACTAACATTTTGAATTGGGGTAAAGCTGTTGTCAGAGCCTTATCATTCACAGGGCAACCTAGTCATGAGCCTAGGATCTGGTGGATGTACTGTACATGGAGGGCAGTTTAAATTTTTATGCTTCTGTAGTAAACCACGTAGGTCAGAGCTGTGCACCCTCCTTTCATTTTTGGAGGATGCACTTGTAGGCACTTTTTTTTTTTATTGGGCCATGCCAGTGCAGACAATGCAGATGGGGTGGCTTCTCTGTTCCCATTATAATCAAGGGGTGGGGGGAATCTGCAACCTTGCCTAGGGGTCCATTCTGCCTTTGTCTTCTGCAACCAGTAACATAGTCGCGTTACAATTCTTCATGCCCCTAATATGCACTGTTGCAGGAATCTTTCCCTTCACAATGGAATGCTCACATAGACTGGCTGAAAACGTCAGTAAAATACTTTCAAATTTTGAAGTTGTCTTGACAGATTTCTAATGCTTTGCAGAGTTTCAGGAATGTAGATGCATAGCAGGTTTTCCTGGTAGACATCTACACGCGAAACATTTTGTTTTGTTTTGCCCCCATGTTTATCTGTCATTCGGTGAGTATCTCTCCATGGGACACGTTGTGTTCGGCAGGTGGCGAGTTTTTTTTAGTTTCTTTTTGTGCGAGTTGACGTTTATTGTGTTTGACCTTGGATCTATTTCAGGGAAATTTATTTTACTGTTTTTTTTTTAATTAAGGGCACGTCAAAAACTGTCTCTGGGTTTTTATTTACATTGACTTTTTTTTGTTGAATGAGTAGCTGTACTATATACTCCATACTTATTCACATGAGGGTGCTGGGATCTGGAGGACCCTTATTAAAGGGGGCTTCCAGATTCTGATAAGTCACCCCCCCCCCCCCACACTCCCACAGCCACCGCCCAGGGTTATAGGGAAGGTTGGCCTTGTAAGGGTCAGAAGGAGAAGGGGCACTCACTTGCCCCCCCCCCCCCCCTTTCTTGGCCTGCCGGACTGCATGCTTAGATAAAGGTCTGGTATGGATTTTTTGGGGAGTGGCATGCCTAAGGGTCTGGTATAGCTTTTGGGGGGACCCCAAGCCAAACATTTTTTCCCTCCAAAATCCATACCATCCAACCATACCATAGTTATGGTTGTTAAAGATGCGGTTTTAACAACCAGCTATTCAGTCAGCATCATAAAGACATGGTTTGACAAGTTTGCTGTGGAAGAACCTGCACAGAGCCCTGACCTCAGCTCTAGTGAACACCTTTGGGATAAATTGGAAAACCAATTGTTAGCCAGGTCTTCTAACCCAACATCAGTACCTGACCTCATAAATGTTCTTCTGGGTGAATGGACACAAATTTCCAAAATCCACCATTCCAAAATCTTGTGGAACACCTTCCCAGAAGAGTGGAGTCTGTTATAGCAATAATGGGATGCCAGCTTCCTATCATTGGTCATGGTTTTGGAACGGGATGTCCAACAAGCTCATATATGTGTGATGGCCATGTGTCTACACCTTTGGCCATATAGTATGTGTCCTTTTTCTTAATTGCAATCCCACTGCGGGAGAATTTTACTTTTCTTTGCAGTAGTTGATATGCACTTTGCAATTCATTGTTGCCCTTTGTGTTGCCTAAGCATTTGCAGTGATTAGATTTAGAAAAACTGACTCTCTTACCAGCCCATATCAGCTCTTTGGCGCACCTCACCGACTCCTTGGTCTTGCAGTAATGTAGAGGAGCATGGCCACTCATGGAGAAGGAATTCAGTTTTGCTCCATGGCTGGTCAGGGCTTTGACGCATTCTAGGTTAGCGACCTCACAGGCCACGTGTAACGGCGTCTTCCCATTGGGTTTACTGTTGATAGAGGCATTGTGTTCCAGCAGAACCAGCAGACTCTCCAAGTGCCCCAGCATCACCGTGATGTGCAGACCTGTCGCCCATGATGACGTCAGTTTAAAACTGGGCAACCAGTAGCCTAGAAATATCAAGATTACACCATGTGAGCTGAGAGCACAGAGATAGGGCAGACTTGGAAAAAATTTAGAAATCCATTTTACTATTTTAGGGGTGATGTGTAGTGTTGATATGCATATGATTTCCAAGCACAGTAAACAAAGTAATATTATTAATAAATTATATTTTTTATAAAATGTTTTTATTTTTTTTAATAAGGTAAATATGAAATAACGCATATGAATATTTAAAGCAGAAATGCTGTTTCACCCCCCAGACCCCATCCTCCGCTTACTTCCTCCTGCATCCCTTTCCACAGCTTAATAACTTTTTTCCTGCAGTTTTCTGGCCAGTCACACCATTCTCTGGTCTTCTCCTTTCACCAGCGGCAGTGGGCGGTCTTCATTAATGCAGAGAACAACATTAAAGGGGTTGTAAACCCTTATATTTTGCCACTGAAGGGACTCGCTTCAGATGATGCACAGAGATAAAACTAATCCTTCTACATAGGTTGTACCTGTTTATCTGCAGCCATTTGATCTGTAAATCCTTGTAAAACTCAGAGATGAAAAGTATTTTTCACAGGCTCACAAAGCAGGGGGCGTGGAGCTGCAGTTACATGCTGTACAAGAGCTTTGAGAGCTGATTGGAAGGAAGGGACACACCCTCACTTCACACAGCACACAGGAACAGAGCTGAGGCTGTCAATCAAAGGCTGTGTGCTGGAGCTCCCTCAGGTTTCCTTTTTACCTCTTGGTATCAGGAAACCTGTCAGAAGTGATTCATACAAATAGCAGAGGAACAAGGCAGCAGACAGATGTGACACTTTGTGCTCTGGATTGAGAAAAGTATGCACCACAGGGATATGTGCTTTGTTCATATTTTATCTATATGGCTGAGGTTTACGACCACTTTATCCTTATGATGCGGCAATAATTTGGCGTCAACCTGGGCCACCTGGATGGGGTTCAATTATATCAATCCTCATTCACATCAGAGCTCCTAACCCTAATTTTATGTTTTCTGAGTCTATATATGCAAACTCTTGGTGCTGGCAGCTACTGCTATCTTACCCAAGTGCAGTGTTTTTTGTTTTTTCTGTAGTTAAGAGCTCATTACCCGCCTGTTGGCTGCAAGTTGTAAATATGAAATGACCATATGCAATATTTCATAGTTACCTGGTGAAAAAAAACAAAATAATATAATTTTTAATGTGCGTTTTTTGTTCAGTCTAAAGATTAGAAATAACATTTTAAAAAGACATTCTCAGACATGCTCTTTCTTCCACAAAATTTTCCTATATAGCAATTATAATGTTCTATAAGCTGCAAAACAAAAACTGTGTTTATCTCAGGGCCCATTCACACCTAGGCATTGTGGAAACATGCGGTAAAAATGCAGCGTGGGTAACAGAATGCATTATGGTGCCATTTGTTAAAATTGAAAGTAAAAAAAAGATAAGAAATACAATTTAAAAAAGACATTCTCAGACATGCTTTCTTCCACAAAATTTCTTATATAGCAATTATAATGTTCTATAAGTTGCAAAACAAAAACTGAGTTTATCTCAGGGCCCATTCACACCTAAGCATTGTGAAAGCATGCGGTAGAAATGACCATATGCAATATTTCATAGTTACCTGGTGAAAAAAAAACAAAATAATATAATTTTTAATGTGCGTTTTTTGTTCAGTCTAAAGATTAGAAATAACATTTTAAAAAGACATTCTCAGACATGCTCTTTCTTCCACAAAATTTCCTATATAGCAATTATAATGTTCTATAAGTTGCAAAACAAAAAAACTGAGTTTATCTCAGGGCCCATTTACACCTAAGCATTGTGCAAGCATGCGGTAAAAATGCAACGCGGATAACACAATTCATTATGGTGCCATTTGTTAAAATTCAAAGTTAAAAAAAATAAATAAATAAAAAATAAAATTAAAAAATAAAGTAATAAAGTAAAATAAAATAAAAAATTATCAAAAAAAAGGTAAAAATAATTACAACACTAGAAAATGCACCTGATTTATAGGACATTACAACACACACTGCTATGTATTGTAGTGCATGGCTTCAGACAAATTATTGCAGGTCTGATTTCAGGTCTGTTGTGTTGCGTTGGCAGTCCATTTAAATAAATATATGCACATTAAGGTACCTACATTACCGCACTGCATCGGACTGGATAGGTCTTTTTGGGCCTTTAAAATACGCCTGCAGGTGGGTTTCAGGGAGCGCCTGAAGGTGAGGAGGGAAGGTGACAGTCTGATGGATTGGGGTAGTGAGTTCCAGAGGATGGGGGAGGACCTGGAGAAGTCTTGCAGTCGTGCGTGGGAGGAGGAGACCAGGGAGCAAGACATAAGGAGGTCCTGTGAGGAGCGAAGGGTACGGGTAGGGTGGTACCTGGGAGTCAGGTTGGTGAGGTAGTTAGGGGCAGTGTTGTGAATGGCTTTGTAGGTCAGAGTGAGTAGTTTGAATTTAATGCGTTGGGCAATAGGGAGCCAGTGAAGGGAATGACAGAGGGGGGTGGCAGAGGTGGAGCGGTTGGTGAGGTGGATGAGTCTGGCCGCTGAGTTCAGGATGGTCTGAGCCCCTTGCGTGGACGTACCTTTTGCCCTGTTGGCGTTAGAGCACTGTTTTTTTCTATTTTGCATTTTTTATCTGTGCAATTGATAGCCCCTGCGTGGGCGTGTTTTGTTGCCTCTGTTTTATACTGCTTAAAATTAATAAAAATATTTGAAATATATATATATATAAAAAAAAAATAGTAGCACTTTACTATTACATTTATGTGTGTTGCGTGTGCTGGTGACTGTTGAGTATTCTTTCACCTATCAGTGTAAGCGGATGATGCAATATGTGGCACAGCTTCATGGAGCCGTATAATACAACAATGGGCTGCATTATATAATCCCCGGAGTAAGTGCCTAGTCATCCTGCCATAATAAATCTCTGCAATGCAACCCTGCTACACCACTGATGTAACCCTGCTCATGGAAAAGGTGGTGCCAACCTGTCTTTCATGGCCCAGAATGCATCGGTTGTCTTTATGACCCTGACCTATTCAGCGGCAGTTTACAGACTATATTAAATCGTTCACATCCCAGTGCAGCTATGGATAGACTCCAGGCCAACAGAGCAAATATTCTTCTCGAACATAAAGAAGCCTATCCAAGTAAAAAGGGCAAAAGCATAAAAATGCAGATCAAACACAGTCATGCTGGTCATTGAACCCAAGATCCCTGTGTTGTCCTCTAAGCAGGGTCATTTTAAAGCTGACAAGATATACAGTAAACTCAAAATTGCTGTGAAAAAAAAAAAATACTACATGTATTCTACATGCAACTAATATAAGTACCTGAATCTGTTTTCATTTTAGCTTCCTGTCATATCCTACAAAGCAGCACTCAGACTAGGAGAGGGAAGGTATGCTCTAGAGCCAATCAGTCTTTGCTGCATGTATATGTGCTGGCAGGGAAGATACTGATTGGAGGAGGGAGCAGAGTGAGCACAACTTCATTGTACAGAGAGCAGGCTGGGGGTGGGGCAGTGGCACCACTGCATTTCTTAATGTGGAGCTCCACCCAAAAGGGGACGTTCCGCTTTAAGGACTGATCCCCCGCTCCCCATTAAGGATTGGCACCTTTGGGGAGCGAGGGGGGGGGAATTTGACAGGTACCTGCTCCCACTTCCGGTCCGATCGCATAGGCGATCAGAAACGCAAGGAGTCCTCCCCCCACTCCCTGTAGTCTTTTGGGACACATGACAGGTCCCAGAAGACTACAGAACCATTCAGGAAGCGCAGCGCTACTTGCGCATGCGCAGTGGGTACCCAGCTGTGAAGCCGCAAGCTGTCACAGCCGGGTGCCCACACTGAAGATGCCGGCCTCCTGGAATAGAGGACGGCTAATGAAACGGGCTGCAGGGGACACACCAAGGTACTGAGGGACAGGTAAGTGGCTGTTTCTAAAAGTCAGCAGCTACAGTTTTTGTAGCTGCTGACTTTTATTTTTTGATAGGTCGAGCGGAACTCCGCTTTAATTTTAACAGAGAATGTGGTGTCACCCTCCTGGCTGTGTTGTCTGGTAGAAGTGACCAATAGTGTCCAAACAAAATTGCAAATCCTTTGTGTAGCGCTACCCTTGTGGGTATCCCTAAGCCTCTCTCCGCACATCCAGGCAACAGGTATTCCTCACACCAACTTGCATCCAGGGACAATGACCAGTCCATGGGTTTGGTTTTGGTATTTTATTAAGGGAAATTATTGGATTATGGGATGCCCAGTTTGGCTTGAAACAATGAAAGGGGGGCACTTCCCTCCTATGTACAAAGGCAGATCCTGGACTGTTCTTTTCCTGAAAGCCATCAGTCGTTGTGGATCAGTAGCAGCTGTCCTTTACAAACAAGGAACTAGCAGCCCCTCAAAAATCACTTTGCTCCTCAAGAGATAAAACTACAATCCTGCCACTTTATAAAACCACATCTGGAGTATGTTGTCCAGTTCTGGTCACCAGTTCTCAGGAAGGATGAGCTGGAACTGGAGAGAGTCCAGAGAAGAGCAACAAATCTAATAAGAGGGCTGGAGGCAGGGGCGGACTGACAACTCATGGGGCCCCCAGGCAATAGGGGATCATGGGGCCCCTGTGTTCTTGCCCAAACTCAAAAAAGCCTATGAAAAAGATACCAAGGGCATCTCATGGGGCCCCCTACTGACCCCGGGCCTTCAGTCTCAGGGAGTGGAAGAAGACACGGGCCTCTCAATGAAACTGGAAGAGAAGCGGTTTGACCTTAAAACTGCATAGGGTTTGTTTCATTGTCAGGGTGGTAAGGATGTGGAACTCTCTTCCACAATCGGTGGTGTCAGCGGGAAGTATTGATAGTTTCAAAAAGCTTTTGGATGGGCTTTTTAGCAAACACACAGGGATATGATTTTTATTATGATCGCACTCAAACACACAGGTTGAACTGGATGGACTGGTGTCTTTATTCAGTATTACCAACTATGTAACTGTCCTGGGTGAGAATAGCACTGAATCTCTGGACAGGTAAGTGTCCCTTTATTAAACTTCACTCTCTCAATCAGCATTGGCAATTTTTAATCCTTATGCTACTAGCTTTAGTAAATATATAGGAAAGTATATCATATTTACTTGTTTTAAACTTTTTTCTTCAGTTACTTCCTGCTTTCTGACCTAGGACAAAAAGATGTCATACATCCTAGGAGTTTTCAAGAGGGGAAAATGGGATTTCTCAGCTAAGCATACCCTCCTGCCTGCATGCCTGGGCTAAGGGCAGATGGATTTCAGAAAGTAAATGCTACATGCATTATTTGCCCTTACTCAACATGGCCAGGGCCAGAAGTGCTGGGTGGGGGTTCAAAGTGATTTCTGAGCAAAATAAAGCATGTAGACATGGATGGATGGGGGAGTTCGCTTTGAATATTAAAAATGAATGAAATCGCATTTTTGGTTTGTGGTGCTTAGATGTAGTGTAGTTCCCTTGCTCATACAGTGTCTCTTCAATGGACACTCCTGACCCTGCTGAGCACTTCCAGATATGGGACCTGCACCTCTGTGACAGGCCTTGCAGCCAATTACTATGCTTGAACTCTGGCACACAGGGCCGTGGATAAGTGGGTACCACCAGCCCTCATGTACAGGGCCCAGGCAGCTGGGTGAATCGGATGTGGGCAGGGAGGGTGATCGGCATGGTGGGGGGCAATTACTGGAACCGATCCCCTGTATGGCTCTCTTCAGCTGGCTTCTTCTCCTCTCCCTCCCGCTGCCTTTCAGCTGCTGCAGAGAGAGCCGTACAGGGGATCGATTCCAGTAACTGCCCCCCCCCTGACGCTGCACCCATCACCCCCCCTGAGCACCATACACCACTCCCCCTGCTGCCCAGGCCACCCTGTGTGTCCCCACCCCCGCGGTGCTTCCAGTTTCCCTCCTCTCCTTCCCACTGACAGCTGCAAGCACACAATAGGATTCTTCATGGTGAGTGGGGGAAGAGTGAGGGAGGGTGATCGGCATGGTGGGGGGCAATTACTGAAACCAATCCCCTGTATGGCTCTTTCTGCAGCATCTGAAAGCCAGCGGGAGGGAGAGGGAAGAAGACAGCTTTCAGCTGCTGCAGAGAGATCCATACAGGGAAACGGTTACAGTAATTGCCCCACCCCGGTGCACCCACCACCTCCCTGTACACCATACATTTCCCCCTGCTGCCCCCACTCCTCTCATTCCCATTGGTAGCTGCAAGCACACAATAGGACCCTTCATGATGGAGAGTGGGAGAAGAGTCCAGTAAAAATGTCACATTTACCATTCCCTTTCTTTCCTGAATGAACACAATGAGTGATCGGTACCAATCACTGTGTTTTTTTGGGGGGGGTCGGGGGGGAACCCTGTCAGGTTGGCTGTATGGGGCTCTGTGGTTTCTGATAGCAGCCCTGCTGGCACATGACCTAGAGAGTAATGTCACCATTCTCCCTGGGTAATCGAAAACCAGTGATTTCAGTACCATCTGTGGCAGAATGAAGAAAAGGGGTGAGAACCGGCAAGGTTAGTGTTAGGGGGGGTCAGGGTGGCCCCCAAATGGGAATTGCTGTCACTTTACCTTGCATAGCTGAAAGTAGGGAAAATTTCCTAAAACTGGAGCACTCAGAATCTTGTACAGCTGTACATGGTAGCCAATCAGCTTCTAGCTTCAGCTTGTTCAATTAAGCTTTGGCAATAAAACCTGGAAGCCGATTGGTCACTATGCCCAGCTGCACCAGATTCAGTGTCTCTTTAGGAGCCTTTGGGATTGAACCCAGCACCCAGGTGCTGTAAGATACCATTACTCTGTTATTTTATACCTGCTTTGTAAGAAGCCAAAATAAGTTTCTCATCTTCCACTTCAAACACCGTGTCCACGTCTATGTTGCCATCGTTGAGCATATTTTCCACAGCGACGTAGTCGTTTGATTGCAGAGCCTGCAGGAAATTTTCTTTCAGCTTCTTGTTGGAGAGGTAGCGAGGGTACTTCTTCCCTCCATCCGGATCCATATCCTCCTCCCGCTGATGTATACAATCACAGCTAGATTTAATGCACAGGCATTGGTGACATGACGTTCGCTCTGTGTTGAACGCTAGGTCACTGACAAGACTGACTTTAGGTAATTCTATCATCTAGCCATGGCTACACTATCTATTTATACATAGCCTGCCTGCAAACTTGGAGGAACTAATTATAGATGACACTGGGCTGTCAACAATATCAATAAAAGGCTTTTCAGCGACCAGCAAATAAAGTGGATCCATTATCTGAATGTACATCGGGTCTGCATATCAATGCCGACTTGGCTAGAATAAATCCTGAGGATAGAATAGGGAACGTAACTCAGATAAGCAGCAGAAAACGAGGTTCTACCTGTCCAAGGCTGGCTGCAACCACAGTCCATTCAAATGACATTTTTTAATATGGAGAGAAGAAAAAAAAAAAAATAAAAAAGCTTGATTGCATCAAAATATGAAAAAATATAATCTTCTAAATATTTTTTATTGGGTCTTACCAGGGGCGGACTGACCATTTGGAAACTCGGACACTGCCAGAGGGCCCGGGGTCAGTAGGGAGCCCCATGAGATGCCCCTGGTACCTTTTTCATAGGTATTTTGAGTTTGGGCAAGGACACAGGGGCCTCATGATCCCCTATTGCCCGGGGTCCCCATGAGTTGTCAGTCCGCCCCTGGGTCTTACATTTTGTAATGTTGATACAAAAGGAGAAAAAATGCATTGATTGATTGCAACACCAAGAAAACATAAGCTTTAACCAGGGAGGGACTGAAAACTCATGGGGCCCCCGGGCAATAGGGGTCATGGGGCCCCTGTGTCCTTGCCCAAACTCAAAAAAGCCTATGAAAAGGTACCAGGGGCATCTCATGAGGCCCCCTACTGACCCCGGGCCCTCGGGCAGTGCCCGAGTTTCCAAATGGTCAGTCCGCCCCTGGCTTTAACACATAGGCATCAAGAATAAGTCCTCATGCACACGGGATGTTTTTTACAGCGGCTGTTTTTGGCTTTTGACATTTTTTTCTACAGCCAGTAAACCCCCCAGCATGTTATTCTATGTGTCCATGCACACATTTATTTATTTATTTCACGTACTTATATAGCTCTGTCAATTTAGGCAGCGCTTTACATATATATTGTACATTCACATCAGTCCCTAACCCTCAAGGGGCGTACAATCTAAGGTCCCTAACTCACATTCATACATATACTAGGGCCAATTTAGACAGGAGCCAATTACCTACCAGCATGTCTTTGGAGTGTGGGAGGAAACCAGAGTACCCGGAGGAAACCCACGCAGGCACAGGGAGAACATGCAAACTCCGGGCAGATGGTGCTGTGGTTGGGATTCGAACCAACACATAGACTGTAGTTGGCGTTTTTTGGCTGGAAAAAAAAAAACCCAAAACTATTGGGTTTCTAGAGTTTTTTAGCTGTACAAATGCTCTAATGCTGAAAAACGTGGCAAAACGTGATGAAACGCGGCAAACCGGCGTTTTTGGACATTTTTATGAGAAAAAAAATAAAAAAAATTTCTGGTAAAGAAAAAACCCGCTAAAAACGCAAACGCAAAATGCAGCTGAACGCTAATGCAAAAACACTGAAAAACTCATGTTTTTAACGTGACTTTACACAGCTAACGTTACCAGCGTTATTAAAACGCCAGGTGTGCATGGAGCCTTAAAGTTGTAATCATCATTTGTGATAGGGTCCATGCACACTAGGCAACAGAAAAAAAGCCAGAACTGCTGGCAGGAAAAAAAGCAGCATAAAAAAACATTCCTACGGAGAGTACTGTACATGCGTTTAGGTGTTCTTACGCGCATTTATGTTTATAGGCAGTTTTCCCCCCAAAAAAATAAAAAATTACACTTGAAAAATTTGACGCACTTAACCATTTGATGCCCGGCCTATGGCCAAATGGCGTCCGCAAAAGTGCATTACCTTTCCGGGAGGACGCCATATGGCGGCACATGCGCAGTTCACGCGCTTGCAGAGCCGCACAGCGGCGCGATCTGTCACCGGCCGTGTACCTCGGACACGGCCGATGACAGATCTGAGTACCGGCCCCAATCACAGCAGGTCACATGACAGTTGTATACAATGGATGGCTTCATTCATGCCATCCATTGTATACTACTGGCTAGCTGTGAATGGTCACAGCTAATCACATGCACATGTCATGTGATTAGCTGTGGCCAAATCACAGCCAAGCACAAAAAAAAAAAAAAAACCCTGAATGAATCGATGTCATTCAGGTAAATGCTTGCTTATAGCAAAGAAATTCTTTGCTATAAGCAACTTGTGTAAAAAAAAAAAAAAAAAATACTGATCACTTCCCCAAAGTAGTACAATGTTACTATGGTAACATTGTACTACTTTGGACATAGTGAAATATGAAAAAAAAAATCTTAAAAAAAAGAAAAAAAAAAATTAATAAAAAATTTAAAATAAAAATATATATATTTTTTTTCACACTGTCACCAGTCAGTGTCCCTGATCACCGCCATGCCAGTTATATGATGACGCTGTACTGCACTGGTGACAATATGTAAAAAAAAAATAGTGAAAATAATTTTTTTTATTTTTTCATTTTCCGAAAAATTATGACAAAAAAAATACGACTTCAAAAAACTCGCCATTCCTCTTATGAAGTACGTCGGACTGTCTACTCTGCAAAAAGGGGTCATTTGGGGATATCTGTACTATTCTGACATTCTTTGAGTTCAAGAAATTAGATTGGCTGTCAGTACTTCAGGATTGATCAATATTCAGATCTATACCGTAGTTTGTGAACTCTATAACTTTTCCTACAAACTAAAAAATACATCCTAATTTGGGTTATTTTCACCAAAGACATGTAGCAGAATACATCTCGGCCTAAATTTATGACGAACAATTATTTATTTGCAAACTTTATAACATAAATTTTTCAAAATTTTTGGTCTTTTTTGTTAATTTAGCAAAAAATAAAAACCCCAGCGATGATTAAATACCACCAAAAGAAAGCTCTAGTTGTTTGAAGAAAATGATAACATTTTAGTTTGGGTACAATGTTGTATGACCGCGCAATTGTCATTCAAAGTATGAGAGCGCTGAAAACTGAAAAATGGCCTCGGCAGGAAGGTGTAAAATTGCCCGGTATTGAATTGGTTAAACACCACATTTAGGGTCATCAAGTGTTTATTCTGCCTAAAAGCTCCTCAAAAACTGTTTGTTTTTTTCAAGCCTGTAAACGCCCCAAATGTGTATGGACACACAGGCTAACATACAGTTGCCTCTTCAGGCTGAAAGAAAAAAATCCAAACACCCGCAAATACAGCATATTTATGCCCAGTGTGCACGAGGCCTTACAGGATACAGTAGATGACTGAGAATAAGTCTTGTTTATAGCATCTAACATTGTTTGCCAATAGCGGAAACGTTTTGGACATTTCCACAACACGTGCAGGAGAGCTGCTGGGGCACTCTGTTGTGCCAAAAGAATCATTTTCATGGTGTACAGTAAGTCCCTATGGAGAATAAACTAATACTGTATACAGTATCTCACAGAAGTGAGTCCCCCCCTCACATTTTTGTAAATATTTTATTCTATCTTTTCATGTGACAACACTGAAGAAATGACACTTTGCTACAATGTGACGTAGTCAGTGTACAGCTTGTATAACAGGTAAATTTGCTGTCCCCTCAAAATAACTCAACACCAACAAAAGTGAGTACACCCCTAAGTGAAAATGTTCAAATTGGGCCCAAAGTGTCGATATTTTGTGTGGCTCCCATTATTTTCCAGCACTGCCTTAACCCTCTTGGGCATGGAGTTCACCAGAGCTTCACAGGTTGCCACTAGAGTCCTCTTCCACTCCTCCATGACGACATCACAGAGCTGGTGGACGTTAGAGACCTTGTGCTCCCCCACCTTCCATTTGAGGATGCTCCTTAGATGCTCAATAGGGTTTGGGTCTGGAGACATGCTTGGCCAGTCCATCACTGTTATCCTCAGCTTCTTTAGCAAGGCAGTGGTGGTCTTGGAGGTGTGTTTGGGGTCGTTATGTTGGAATACTGCCCTGCAGCCCATTCTCCGAAGGGAGGGGATCATGCTCTGCTTCAGTATGTCACAGTACATGTTGGCTTTCATGGTTCCCTCAATGAACTGTAGCTCCCCAGTGCCGGCAGGACTCATGCAGCCCCAGACAATGACACTCCCACCATCATGCTTGACTGCAGGCAAGACACACTTGTCTTTGTACTCCTCACCTGGTTGCCGCCACAAAAGCTTGACACCATCTGAACCAAATCAGTTTATCTTGGTGTCATCAGACCACAGGACACAGTTCCAGTAATCCATGTCCTTAGTCTGCTTGTCTTCAGCAAACTGTTTGTGTGCTTTCTTGTACATCATCTTTAGAAGAGGCTTCCTTCTGGGACGACAGCCTTTCAGACAATTTGATGCAGTGTGTGGCGTATGGTCTGGGCACTGACAGGCTGACTCCCCACCCCTCCAACCTCTGCAGCATAGCTGGCAGCACTCATACATCTATTTCCCAAAGACAACCTCTGGCGCTGAGCACGTGCACTCAACTTCTTTGGTCAACCATGGCGAGGCCTGTTCTGAGTGGAACCTGTCCTGTTAAACCACTGTATGGTCTTGGCCACCGTACTGCACCTCAGTTTCAGGGTCTTGGCAAACTTCTTATAACCTAGGCCATCTTTATGTAGAGCAACAATTCTTTTTTTCAGATCCTCAGAGAGTTCTTTGCCATGAGGTGCTATGTTGAACTTCCAGTGACCAATAAGAGAGAGTGAGAGCGATAACACCAAATTTACACCTGCTCCCCATTCACACCTCAGACCTTGTAACACTAACGAGTCACATGACACTGGGGGGAGGGGGGGGGGGAATGGCTAATTGGACCCAATGTAGACATTGTCACTTAGGGTGTCTACTTTTTCCTCCCTGCACTGTGAATGTTTACATGTTATGTGCAATTAAACCATGGCAACATCTAATGTTTGTGTAGTATTATGTTCAGCAGGCTGTGTTCTTCTATTGTTGTGACTTAGATGACGTTCAGAGCAC